TCGCGATCCGGGGGGGGGGGGGTTGTGGGGGCTCACATAATGTTTTTCGATCAGGACCCAGATCGCGAACCAGCCTTCCTGTATCGCGATCTGGGGGGTCTCACAGAACGTTTTTTTGATCAAGAACCAGATATCACGATCCAACATTCCTGTATCGCAATTAGGCAAGGCGGTGCACAGTTTTCGAGGCAAGATATTTGTGTTTTGCAGCCTACTATAAATAGAACACGCCCTCTCTCCAATTTTCGACTTCTTGAAGACTTATTCGGTTTTCTCCTCGGTTTTCGCCAGTTCTTCGCGGAAAGTTTCGACGAGGGTTTTGCATAAATTTTTTCTTTACGTTTAGTTTATGATTTCTCGTGCTTTTCATTTCGATGCTATGTTTATAATGAACTGAGCATTTTTTTTAGGGAAATGAAACCTTGTATATATTGATTTTGATTTGCAGATCTGTGATCTATATGTCGTTCTTTGATTCTGTTTATGTTGTCCTGTATTAAATGCTTTAGATTGTTTGGCTAATAATTGAATTGATTGTAAATGACAATGAACTCGAGAGAGGATTTTGTTAGAGTAGGTGACTGAAGCGCCAACTAATTGTTGTGTTTTCTCACGCTACTCGTAAATAAATTTCGTATTAATGATAAAAACCCCGTTGGCATTCTATATCTTTGTCCCTTGCATAAGCATAGATGTACGTAGTCCTTACAATTACTTAATTACTATAAATATATCTAGCAGAATCGTGAAAATATTTATTTAAGTACAATAACTGTTAAAACATAGTTCCTAGTCAACGAGTTATGCCACTAATGAGAATATCGGCCTTTCCCATTCGAGACTAGCACTTAGTGTATGTGTATTGCGTTTCATCAGTCAATGGTGTTGTGACATCAACATACATAAGTGGGTACTCATAAGCTAATGAGTTCACTGAACTCTCTCAAGCTAGAGATCTCTAAGTGGTTCCCAATAATCGAATAGAGGTTTCTATGATATAGTTGTACACCATTAATCCTTAAGACCCAGACATCACCGTGACTTCACTAGAAGACCAGCTGTATCGTGATCTATCCCTGAGTTCCACCGATGACCACCCCAAGGGCCAGTGTTCATACAGTACGAAATCTAGTGGGAAGTCTGTGCATTGTAGTAGGAGATTCGATCGCTTGATTAGTCATGGATATCCTGTGTGTTCTTGCGATTTATAATCCATGAAGTCTGTGGCCACAGCTGAAAGTGTCGTGATTAGAGAAATGTATTTCTTCAAGTCAAACATGAACGGGTTCTATAATCAAGAACGTCCACATAGTTATTGAACTCATAAAGAGGTCTCGATGAACCAATGCCTCTAGTTCAATCGGGATATATTTATCAAAGGGATCGTACTGTACTTTAACTATATCACATGGTTCTTGCAGGAACTTCATTTGTATCTAGGAAATCATGAAGCATAGTTGCTAGACGCCAATCTTGATTCATTGGGTAGTTAAGTTGAAACTAGCTTCAACTTAATTATAAGATCTAGGGACGAGTTTAAACCACAATGGGTTGTGGGCCAACGGCTAGCTTACACCTGAACCATGCTCGTGTACTTGAGATCCTTAATGCAATGAGTTAAGATTAATTAGTTAATCTTAGTGTAATTGGAAATCAATGTGATTGAATTCAACATTCGTAATTGTTAATTACATATGATAATAAGTAGAGGAAAAGAATTCGACGGAAAGTTAGTAACTTTCTACATTGGGAAGTTTCCCTATTTGGCAGGTCCTAAATTAGGGTTTCCAATTTTGGAAATTGGTAAATTGCAAAGTGGTACTCGTATCGATGATAAATTATGCTCGTATTCAAAATATAATTGTTATATTTCTGCGAGCATACGTTTGTTAGAAACGAGCCGAGAAAGAGAGTGGACTTAAGCTGTTGGCTAGACCAACTTAAGGCCTGTTAGGGTTTTCATAAGGACCATATAAATAGGATTTGTCGTCTTGTGAAATACACACATCACAAGCTTGAAACTCTTGCCTCTCTCCCTCCATGAGTCATCCACCTTGCAGCCGAAATCCTGCCTCCGCCACCAGCCGCCGCCAGTCGCCGCCGCATCGACATCTTCCTTTTCCCCTCGTTCTTCTTCGTTGTACTTAGCCTATCACGTATCTAGTGCTGCGTGGATAGTGGATTGAATATATGAGGTAAAACCTAAGAGGAGGAAGATTCTTTGGCCACCAACGCCGCCGCCAGGTCTCCTTCATGCGCCTCCACAAGCCGGTGATGTGAGAAGGCAATTCTGAAAAATTGCTCTCGGATTTTCTGTGCAGTCCAGCAATAAAATTCTCCATAAATCAACCAGTGATTGGACGGACGTGAAATTTTGATAGTAGCTTCCGGAATCATGAATCTATAATAACTCACAAGAAATTGTCGATCTAGTCAATAACCATGGAAATATTGAAATCGGAGCAAGCCTTCAGAAAACAGGTTGGATCAGTAGGAGTGGGAATAGTAGTTAGCCATCTTCTCGAGTTTTCGTTCGATTCACGCTTCAAGGGTAAAATATCGTTTTCCCTAATATATATATATATATATATATATATATATATATATATATATATATATATATATATATATATATATATATATATATATTGAGATTAATGTATGTTAATTGATTATTGAGTCGCATGAATTTATATGTTCGATTATGTGTTTATGTGAACCGTTCGGTTCAACATGTTTATTATTTTATTTAATTTCGCGAGCATGCTATGATGATTTAATTTATGTTATTTAAATTAATTATATACGCAAGCATGTTTGTCGGTGATTGGCAGCGAAAAGGTACCAATTAATTGTAATTATTGTGCACGTGTTTGTTTGTATAAATAAATTATTTTTTTTGTTTTCGACTGTGTACATGTGCCCGATCCCCAACAGATTTCTTGTTTGATTTTAGGAAAACATAGCTCGGGTTGTGAAAACATAGACGTCATGCACATCGGGTAGCCCTTAAGCACTTGACCTAAATCATCTCTTAATATCAGGTTCTGAACGGAGACGTCGGACCTGTGGGTAGACTCTAACTACACTGGAGATGGGGGTTAATATTTTAGTGTCTGGGTTAGCGAATATGGAATTGACATTAGATTCGGATTTGTAGATGTTTATCGATGGTACATTGGAGGATTTTACCCTAAAAGTCACCACACGTCGGAATTCCTCGCGTGTCCTCGCAGACCTTGTTTTTATTTATTGTTTTTTTTAGCTTCATTTCTCCCATTCTTTTTGTCTAGATAAATTTTAGGATAGTACAGTTACGCTACTTGGTTAATTTAGGAACTTAATTCCCTGTGGATCGATATCTGGAATTCACTATTGTACAAAACGTGATATTGTACACTTGCGGTTTTTCATATGTAGGTTTTACGCGCATCAATATTTATATAGAGGAAATATCATCTAATCTTTATGGGTATATTGGAACCACGGCTGCAATTTGACGATTGATCACGAAACTTGTGGATTGAGGCTTGGACTCCATTTGTTCTCCAATTTTAAAGGTAACAAGGTGCTGCAATAAAAACCACGATAATATGGAGATAGGCAAGGTGAGGCGCGGACTAGGTCTGATATGATCCAGCCATGGATCGAGGTTAATGCCGAGCTGACCAAAGTGCAGACTCTCAGTGTGAATGTTGATGAGATGGCGGTGCCTAGAGAGATGCTTCAATCATTCTCTATACAGAGGTTGAACGCATTGGGACTTCAAGCTACAAATTACTCACGGTCATATCCACTTCAATGGCTGCTAGATAGTGTGTTTGGTGATGTGGTGCAGAGATGTGTAAGTTCGATACCAAACAGAGAGATCGATCTTGTTTACACTCCTTGTGATATTTGTGCGGACTCGAGGTGTAATCACTATATATCAAACGATATAACTTCTTATATTTTGAATTCCAACGTTGTGGAAATCTTACTGATAATTCGATAATTTTCTTATCACAAATATTATTTTCACAAATTTATTTTTGCAAATCAATATCCACACTTCACATAATGCAAAATTAGGCATTTAATAATCACTTGCACATTTAAGATTGCAAATAAAGCACAAGTTATCATATTTTCACTATAAAAAAAATCAATCATAAAGTGAGCAATTTAAAATTGGATCATATCAAAATCAATTATAGTATGCTCATATAGATAGATACAAAACCCCCACTATTTCTCAATATTAGAAAAACTTGCATACCTCTGCCCAATGATCATAAATTAAGACCAAGATAGAATATATCACTATAATTATGCTCATTTCTCAATTAGAGGCAACTATCATGAGGTCATTATCATATTTAGAAGTAACAACCCCCACTATTTCACAATTAAAATATATAATGTCTAATAAGTAAATTGAGAATCTTTCTTTTAAATACATAAATATTTAATTGGAAACAATTAACATATATATATATATATATATATATATATATATATATATATATATATATATATATATATATATATATACTACTTTTATATATATATATATATACTACTTATAAAAGTATAAGTACCACAATGTTTTTCTCTCGGTAGGAGAGGTTTTTTTTCTCTCGTTTTTTAGAGGCGGAGTGTGTCTTTCTCGTTCTTTTCTTCTCCCCCACATCGTTAATTGATTTGCTGATTTTTTCCTGTTTGCGTATTCTCAGATTGCTCTTTTTCCCATCGTTTAATTTGTCTTATATCACTGTTAGTTTTTTTAGTCTCTCTTTCTAGGGTTTGTTTTTATGTTATTATTCCTAGAGGTGGCTAGGGTTATCTAACGTTTTTTAATTACCCTCCCCTCTCAGATTTGCACGTCTGCGTTTCGGTCACCAGCAGCAGCTACTGCTCAATATCTCATCTTTCTGTTCACGCCGGCATGGATGAAATTACTGAGCAAGTGGCTGCTAAGGTTGTCCTCACTGAGGAGGAGAATGACAATATCTTAATACCGTCGGCGCTAACAGGCCCTAGGGGCCCCAAAGTTGGGTGATACAGTTGTGGGTCGTGTTCTTGCTTCGAAGGAGATTAGCGCCCATACCATTAAGTTGAACCTCATTCGTCTCCTGCAACCGCTCAAGGGATACTCATTCATCTCCGTGTCGTCGAATCGGTTTGTTATAAACTTTGAGCACCAACTGGACTACAAACACGCTTTCGAGGGAAACCCTTGGATGGTCGATAAGCATGCCATTCTCTTCAAGGAACTCTCTCCAGGATCTGACCCGAATGAAGTTGAGCTAGCCCTTATGCCCATAATTGCCCGACTTCACAACATACCCATGTCTTTGAGATCTGAATACACGTCGAGGGTCATAGGTGGAAAAATTGGGCAGATGCTAGAGGTGTTTCCTCAAAAACCTAACACGTATGGTGATTTTGTTCGCATCAGACTCATGCTAGATGTCAACCTAAAGCTTAAACGAGGGGTGTTTGTTCAAGATCTGGATGGGGAGAAGCTCTGGGTCTCCATTACGTACGAGCGTCTCCCCTCATTTTGTTTTCTATGTGGTCGGATTGGTCACATGGAGGCGAGATGCCCATCTTGCTACGAATCGGACTTTGTCGATCACGGCTCTGAATTCCAATATGGCACGTGGCTCAAAGCGTCATCATCTCGCGATGAGAAAAATAGTGGTTTACCACTGCATAACATAGCTCTGCAACCTACGACCACTCGCTCCACGGGTTCCCCTCCTAATGTTGAGATGCCAGGGCACCTGAGGCACATGGAAAACATGTTGGGTAACTACCAAAGAGTTGGAAAGGAAAACAGTGGGGCCATTCATTGGGATGATTCTCAGTTATACACCAACTCTATCACCATGATGCCCAGTGGTGGAGCTCCAGCCCAAGTTAGGAAATACATTCAAGTTAGCAACACAAACAAGAAGAAGCGAGTGGACAATACTAAGGTACTAGATGGGAATCGAGCAACCAAAAGATCTCACCTTTTGCTTAGGGACAAGGATTTACCAATATCGGCAGAGGCTGCGGGGCAGCCCAGCCGGGATTAATGAGTTGCCTCTATTGGAACTGCCAGGGGTTGGGGGGGGGGGGGGGGGCCTTGACAGTTCAAGAAATCGGAGCCATGCTCCGTAAATATCACCCTCCCTTGGTGTTTCTTTCGGAAACGAAAGCGACATCTCGTATGATGGACAGGTTGAAATTTAAGTGGAATTACCATGGATTTGCAGTTGATAGAATATGTTTGTCGGGGGGATTAGCCTTACTATGGAGAAAGGATGTGGATGTATCGTTGCAGTCTTATTCCAAAAGCCATATTGATGTGATCTGTTCGGGGTTTCAAAACGAAGGAAATTGGAGATTTACGGGCTTTTACGGCTGCCCAGAGCCGACGAACCGCCGCGAGTCGTGGAATCTGTTGCGCACTCTAAGCGGCCAATCCGAGATCCCATGGATCGTCGGAGGAGATTTTAATGAAATAGTGGCGAACTCGGAAAAAAGAGGGGGGTAACGATAAGCCGCCTGGGCAGATTGAGGAATTCCGAGAATGTCTTGATGATTGCGGCTTACTGGATATGGGTTTTGAGGGCTTTCCATTTACTTGGTCTAACCGGCGAGATCACCCTTATACGATTCGATGTAGATTAGATCGGGTTTGTGCCAATAGTGCGTGGTCTAATCTTTTTCCCTATGCCAAAGTTCACCACCTGCACTTCGCGGTCTCCGACCATCTGTCCATACTTCTGGTTCTTCAAGACACGACTCTTCAAAGGCGGAGCAGGCGCAAAAAACCTTTCAGATTCGAATCCATGTGGATCCGTCGCGATGAGTGTGAAGAAGTGATTAAACAGACGTGGGATTATGATGAGGGATCTAATTCTGTGGAGCGCCTACTTAACAAAATAAAGGGCTGCCGGACTGCACTCATTCAGTGGAGCAAAAGTTCCATCCGAGCTCCTCATATTAAAATTGACCAGATCGAACAAAAAATCCAGAATCTTTCGGAGAGTACTCAATCCAAACGGACCAAAGAGGAATTATTAAACTCAAATGTCAGCTTGAAGCGTTATATGGTGACAATGACGAGTATTGGAAACAAAGGAGCCGAATTCAATGGATGCAAGAGGGAGACCGGAATACTCACTTTTTCCATGCTCGAGCATCGGCGAGAAAGAAAATAAATTGGGTGGAGAAGTTGTGGGACGAAATGGGTAATTGGCAGGATCAAGATAGTCAGATCGAGGGGATGGGGACTATTTTGCTCAGATATTTCAGACCACTCACCCGGATGAAGCAGAGATATATGAGATATTGAGTCAGATGCCGTCGAGGGAGTCCCAAACAGCAGCACAAGTGCTCTCCATTCCTTTCTCGGAATCTGAGGTAAATCACACCATACGCAGTATGGCACTGTTGAAATCACCTGGGCCCGACGGGCTGCCAGTTCTCTTCTTTACTCGCTATTGGCATATTATCGATTCCAGTGTTATTGCGTGTGTGCTGGACTTTCTGAATAATAAAATCCTCCCGGAGGCTCTCAATTATACTTTTATTGTTCTTATCCCCAAATGTATCTCTCCGAAAAAATCACAGATTATCGGCCTATTAGCTTATGTAACGTGATTTATAAAATTGGTTCCAAACTCATCACTAACCGGATGAGAAGAATTTTAAACGATATTGTTTCTCCCACCCAATCAGCGTTTGTTCCCCATCGCCTCATTACAGATAATGTCCTAGTCGCCTATGAGTTAAATCATTTCATAAAAACAAGGTCTGGTAATATAGAGTCTTTTATAACTATCAAGTTAGATATTAGCAAAGCTTACGATAGGATTGAGTGGCTTTTCGTGAGAAAAGTTCTTGCATGCTTTGGCTTCCCTTCTACTTTCATTGATTTGATTATGTTATGTGTCACCTCCGTTTTTTACTCTTTTATGTTCAATGGTTCTCAATTTGGTAAATTATATCCCTCTCGGGGACTCAGGCAGGGCGATCCTTTATCTCCTTATCTCTTTATTCTATGTGCGGAGATTTTGATTGCTCTAATTCAACAGGCTACGGATGATGGTCGCCTTAGGGGGGGTGAAGATTGTGCCAAGAACCCCGATGATTTCGAGCTTGTGTTTCGCAGATGACACTCTTTTATTGTGCAGAGCGGAGGAAGAGGATGCGTTGACGCTTAAGGGAATTTTAGAAACTTATGCACGAATGTCCGGGCAAGAAATTAACACGGAGAAGTCTACTATGAATTTTAGCCCCAATAGTGCGGAGGAGAAAAAAATAGCTGTTCATCAGATACTTGGATTCCAAATTGTGGATCGTCACCAGAAATATTTAGGGATGCCTGCCTCTATCGGCAAATCCCGAAAGGAAATCTTCAGTTTTGTTCGAAAACAAATTTGGACACGTATTAAATGTTGGGGACAACGGCCCCTCTCTCAAGCAGGCAAGGAAATTATGGTGAAATCGGTACTTCAAGCCATTCCGAGCTATGTGATGAGTTGTTTTGCTATCCCAATTGGCATAATTCATGACCTTGAAGCCGCTATCCGACGATTCTGGTGGAGCTCAAGTGACAAGAAAAAGACAGCGTAGGTCTCTTGGCACCAACTCTGCAAGCCGAAGAATAAAGGTGGGATGGGATTTAGGGATCTTAAAACATTTAATTTAGCGCTCCTCGCAAAACAAGTTTGGAAACTCTATACCCAATCTGAGTCTCTCTTTGCCCGAATTATGAAAGCACGGTACTATCCTTCGAGGAATGTGATGACTGCAATGATCGGTTTTTGGCCTTCGGCGACTTGGCGGAGCCTCCTCAAAGATCGGCCATCGGTATCGGTGGGAATTCGACGAAGAATTGGGAATGGCAACTCTCTACGGCAATATGGGGCGATCCTTGGATACCCGATATCTCCAATTTTCGGATCGTTTCTTCTAGGCCAATTGACACGGCCTTCCCGGACAAAGTGGCGGACTTAATTGATACGATTTCTCGCTCTTGGAACTTTCCACTGGTGGACAACATTTTTTGGCCAATTGATCGGGATCGCATCCTTAGCATTCCGATTGGCAGCGTCAACTTGACAGATCGTTGGGTTTGGCACTACTCGAAGAATGGCAAGTTCTCAGTTCGCTCGTGCTACCACGCGATGTACGATCTCTATTCCTGGAGTAGAAACAACCCACATAATGTGGGATCGAGTAGTGGTGAATCCTATCAAGAATGCAATTTCATTTGGCACCTCTCGCTGCCACCCAAAATTCAAAATTTCATTTGGAGAGCGTGCTTGGAATCACTTCCCACATGTGTTGAGCTTTTTCGACGAAAAATGATTCCGTCTCCTTTGTGCTTTCGTTGTGGAGTATCTGAAGAATCTCTCGTGCATGCTATCTCTTGCCGCGAGCTGCATGGCATGTGGTCAACCCCTCCTTTTTCTCTCAACCCGTTTGATCGACGAACGACCTTCTGGGGATAGCTATCGTTGCTCCGTAGTACCCTGTCTTTGGACATTTTCAATTTGGCCATGGTGGTTGCATGGAAAAGTTGGGGCATGAGGAACAATTTGTTGCATGATGGGAATGCTAACATGGATAGCATATCAGTGAGTTGGTGTGCAACTTTTTTGGCAGACTATCAGCAACACATGGAACGACTCTCCACTACTCATCAGGCTCGTCTCTCCTCGGTGTGGGCTGCACCAAGACCAGGATGTATTAAACTTAATGTTGACGTGGCCCTCCCACAAGGTAAGCCATTCCACACGGTTTCCTTGGTGGCTAGGGACCATAGCGGTTCGTGTCTTGCTTGGGCAATTACGAAGCTTCCAGGTCGCCCATCTCCAACAGAGTGTGAAGCCAGAGCAATGCTAGAGGCGATAAAATTCGCGATTTCAAAAAGATGGACCTCCGTTGTCATCGAAGGCGATTGCTTAGAAGTTATCAACGCCCTCAATCTTGGTGAGGTGTCATACGCTTCTTATGGAGCTTATCTTGACGATTGTTTCTTCTTTTCTCAATCTTTTTCTAGTTGCTTGTTCTCATTCATTAGACGTAAGGGTAATGTTTTAGCCCACTTACTTGCCACGAGGCATTTTTTTCATTGTACGGAAGGTGTTTCGCTTTCTAACGATTTGGCGGTTTACGTTTAAATAAATTCTTGTTCTTCAAAAAGAAAAATTGGTAACAATTAACCAATAATATTATTTCTCGTAACAAAATTCTCAAAAAAATGAAATGCACATAGACAAACAGTAATTTTATTGGGATTCTTATTCCACCACAAGTATTCTATTCTGATTAGTAATAATCAAACGATATAAATCATGATAGTTGACCGACGCAATAACCACAACTAATATAAATAAAAAATAGGGGTCATTAGCAATACACCCTTTCTATAGATGAAAAATGGTGATATGGCCATATCATGTTTTTTTTAAACTAATTATCAGTATTTTAAAATCCCTATTATAGAGGCACTTAATCTCGCTAATTGGGATTAATTAGCATAATTATTTCAATTTTTCATTTTTTTTCTCTTTCCATAATAACAATCTAATTCCTAAATATTTGCTTCCAAATTCCTAAAAAAATGCTATGAAAAAAAAACAATTTGAATTATTTATTTTTATTTTTTATTATTTCCGATTTATTTCGTATTTTATTTATTTATTATTTTTTTTTTATTATGACTATAGTTGAATATGACTATATGTGACTATATCAACTGTAGTCATATTTTTTCTTTATATTGCAGGTTCTTACATTTTCAATTTAAAAATTCCTATTATATAGTGTGGTACAATCATGTTTACTAAATTATATAAAACAACGAAGATTGCCTATTGTTTACGAAAACAATCCTAGCAACATCCACGCAAAAAATCACAATTTGAATGTTGTTATTACAAGTCAACTTGAAACGAAAATATAGAACATATTTGAATATGACTACAGTCATAAAAACAATATTTATATTCGAATATGACTATTGTCATATTCAAGCAATAGTCATATTCCAATATGACTATAGTCATGTTACTGCTGCTAGTTCAGATCTAGAAAAAACAAACTCGAATATGACTATAGTCATGTTACCGCTGCTAGTTCAGATTTGAAGGGAAAAAAAATCGAAAAATACACAGATAGATAGAGATCGAAATATAACGAAAGAGCAGAAAGGGGAATTGACGACAACGTCGGTGGCGGCGGTGAACGAAAACGAGAGTAGGGGAGGCGGCGACGGTGGTGGTGGTGTCGGATAGATCTGGAAAAAAACCGAGAATATCGAACTTAATTTGCAATGTGATCGGATAAACAAAATTTCATTCTTCTGTATGATAAACCGAGAAGCTTAGCTACCTCTTCTTTTTTGAAAAAACTCGTATTGGTTTTGAATCGCATCTTCCTTCTTCGAATTCGTGAGAATTAATCGGAACCACTCTTCCTCATCATCATATACTCTGTTATTCAAGATTCGCGTAACAAACAAGAAATTAATAAATCATTAATCAAGTAAATCAGCAATAGTCATATTCGAACAAGACTATAGTCACGTTACTGCTGCTGCTTCAGATCTGGAGAGAAAAACAAAATGAAAAAAAATCGAAAATAACTAAAGGGAGGAAGGGATAGTCGACGACAACGATGGTGAATGAAAGAGAGAGTGATGGAGACGGCTATGGTGGTCTTCATATCTGACAAAGCCAATGAGGTCTTCACACACAGAAGTAGAATAAAAATAAATAAAAAATTTCCAAAATTTCCTTTGAACTATGTGTGTTTTGTTCGTCTATGTAAATATATAATTAAATCAGAAACATAAAAAAATATGCAATAAGATCTAGTATGTTTACCAGTTGGCAAATGAAGTGGAGAACTTTGTGCGGGGAGGGTGGTGATGGTGGTGGGGGTGGAGAGAGAATGCTCCCACACCATTGTATATATTTTGGGATTTGTTCGGTTATGGAAAGATATCGTGATTAAATATTTGATTTATAATTAAAATTATTAATAAGGATACTTATGTCTTATCACGTTTAATTGAGGGGGTCTCACTAATTAAGTTTGGAATGTGGGTTTATGCAAAAATCTTTAAAGTCAATTTGGTTTTACTCATAATATGGAGGGAAATTATGGAGAGTTAAGAAAATATTAGTAAACTCTATTCTCCTTTAGAAAACACTTTGTCCCCCATTTTATAGCACAAAAATTTGATCACCATATAGCCTCTCATTAATATAGAATTAAAGAAATTTATGGTGTTTTATGTAAGAAAATAATAGTTTTGGAGGTTTCAAAATAGTGGTCTAAATGACCTCATAAAAGTGGTCAAACCATTATTATAAAATATATTATTTTTATTAAAATAACCCAACAGGGTAAAGGGTGTTAAATGATATTTTTAAATGGATGGAATAAATAAATTAGAATTCAAAATATTGTCATCTAAAACAAAATTTATAAATTTCATCCATTATACATATAAAAAAAGAAAAAAAACACCAATACTTCATTCGACGGCCCACTACGTTCTACCATTTTGTATCAATTCTCCCTGTACCAACACGCTCCCCTCTCTCTCTCTCTATTCCCTCGTTAAAACATTGCTAAGAAAAATTCAAAGGGATAAAAACTGGGAGAAAAGAAATATAGTGCTTGTTGATCACGTACACTCTCCGTGATATTGGTATGAGATTTTGGAGTTAGATCATCTTCTAAATGATGTAATGCTAGATTTTTTGACGATCGATTTGCAAACTTGTTATTAGATTGACACCAATGATTCTCAATATCGTCTCTCCTCTTTAACTTGCAAGTTAAGAAAAACTTTAATAATACAACAACGTAATTCCACTTTTCACCGTTGAAAAATATTAATAGCACTTTGCACCCTCGGAAAATAATGAATCATTCACATTGCACCATGAATTGAATATTTAAAACTTAATGAGGGTAATTTCATTTTTGTTGGGTTTGTTGTATATTTTCAATGTGCAAAATAAAAAATTAAATTGTTGCATTCTTCTACCTCAAAGTTAGCTTCGAGCATTCAAAGTGCGAAAAAATAAAAATCACCAAATTACCGAAGAACCATAATTTCTATAAAAAAAAAAAATTCTCACTAAATGTTCGATTGATGGATATTTTATCATAATTGGTGAAAAATAATTTTCAAATTCTCGATAACAAAATAGTTTAAGGAATTTTTTATTTTCTTTGGTAAAATTTTGTGATAAAAAAAATATAATTTTTAAATATGTTGATGAGATGTACTTTTATTTTTGCACATTGTAGTTTTGAAATGATCGACTAATATAAGAAAAATTGGTTTGACATTTGGCATCCTAAAAACAATCCCCTTAAAATATTTAATTACCTCCATTAGCTCTAAAAATTCAACTGGGGTGCATTACGCATGATCTACTGTGTTTCGAGAATGCATTGTGCAATTATTTTTTTAGGGTGCAAAGTGTCAAAATGCTATATTTAAAGGGTGCAAAGTGAGATTAAGCATAATAAAAACTCTCATTTGTGCAATCAAACAATATTATTCGCATATAGTAGTACCAAAGTCTTCAATACCTTCTCAGGGATGAAAAACATTTCCTTATATCCAAAGATCGCACAATTAATGAATGAGTTTTATCATTTAAAATCATTTTAAAATGATGGATAAATAATTCATGAAACTAATGTTCAATCTACATCAAAATAAAATTTATCCATCCAAGATTTTTCATCTCAAATTCTTTTATCAAATAATTGATAGTCTATGTGAACTCTTGGAAAGCCTCCACAAGATTTAGGTCGTCCACAATGATAATGGAATATCAAATAGTTTGATTATTCCTTTCATAAACAATGCATTCGCTATGGTGACAATATAGCCAAATGGCCAATATATGGAATACGTACGTGTAATGGATAATGACTACATTAGAAGCCCAAGAAGGAAGAAAGCTCAAGCCAAACCCGGGAGACCTACAAAAAAGGAGAACCGAGAGGAGTCCCCACGTTAGCACTCGATCAAGTTAGTCGGAGTACTGTAGAAGAGGAAAATGCGTGTATGAAGAGCAAAATGTGTATTATGGTAAGTATGTATTTCTTGTACCTTAAGGATGCCATTTATACTTGCCATTTAGGTAAGGTGGTGGAGCCCTTTGTCACTTTACGGCCATGCCCTCACGTGGAGGTAATGTGACCCTCCTAGTTTTGTGATTTGTCATCAACGATCTCCTACTTTGAGCAGCGGGCTCTTCGTTGTGAGCTACGAGTTGTCCTTGCCATGTGGGATAAGAGATCGCTCTAGAGAACTCGCTCATGGGGAGAGAGAGAGAGAGAGAGAGAGAGAGAGAGAGAGAGAGAGAGAGAGAGAGAGAGAGAGAGAGAGAGAGTTGGGCTTGCCTTGCTCTAAGGTCTCACGTGGATGGTTTTTTTGGTCATTTTCATTGCAGGCCTTTCCGTCCTTGTTGTCGCTTCAGCCGTAAAGCAAGTCCAATTGGTCAGCCGCCCATCCCTCGCGGGGAAAGGTGATGGGCCTAGTGGCAGTTTTATGGGCTTTAGTCTTTAAATTACTTGGTCTCCTTGATGCCTGCTGGGCCTTTCCTTAACAGGTCTCTCTCAATTCTTCAAAATATTTGTAGTATGTAAATGAATCATTTATAGAGTTTAACTAATTAAACATCTTATTATATGCTCCAAGCATGAAAAGAAAAAAATATGATCCATATAGATATGGTAGTTGCAGCCATATGATGCATGTAAAGTAATTTGAATATTTTATATATATTGATTGCATCATAAAAATATTATTCCAAAGCAATCAAATATACCGCAATAATTTTACCCACTGTTGTACTAAAGGCTCTACAACTTTATGTGAGTAAACTTCAAGTCAATGTAAAAAATTCATTGAAATACCCATAAGACAATTAAGTATCTAATTGTACGGTAAAATATTGTCGACATATAATTAATTGTACACGTATTTATAACTGACATCTTGAGTACTCCTCATATTCTTTCACTTTTCGGTCCGAATTCTCCTCAAAGACTTATATTCATAGAAATGGAGATTATAGATTTTTTTAGGGAACTTGATCTTGGTTGATCGAACTTGATCTTGAAGTAAAAAATCGAAGTGGCTACTCCCCTAGTTCACTAGGAAGATGGAGTGCATATTGGTCGAGCGAACTTGATCTTGAAGGAAAAATTCGAAGTGGATACTCCCCTAGTTTGTTGGGCAAATGGAGAGCATCTTGGTCGAGCGAACTTGATCTTGAAGAAAAAATTCGAAGGGGCTAGTATGTTAAGTGTATAATTTTACACTTAATTATATCTATTAATTAGAGCTTTTGGTGTATTTTATTGATATTCGGTGCTTAATAATTTGATTTATTGTGTATTAGGTACGAAGTGAAAAATTTAATAAATTGAGGGTCGAAACTATAATTTAGAAGAAAAGGTGGACAAAATTGGTGAAGTCAACGTTAGAGGACCAGTCAAGATCTCGGACGGCCGTCGGAGAAACGTACTAAAACTCCAGACGGCCGTCCGAAGCCAAGAAAAGGAAGAAAAACCCACGGCATTTCAGACGGCTGTCCGAAATGAAGGCTTAATCTTCAGATGGCCGTTTGAACGGGCGAAGATGCGCAGAAAGGAAATCCTAATTGTTCAACGAAACTGACTTTTCATCGATTTTTTCCACCCTATAAAAGGCAATCTCAAGCACGAAAATAAGAGTCCTCTTTTACACAATTTTGAGAGCAAAGAAGCTATAACGAATACAAATAACTTGAAGACTTCAAGCATAGTTTTTATCTTTCATGAATTTTTATTTTGCGTTTAATTTAATCATGAGTAGCTAAACTCTTTTCTTCTAGAATTTTATTTGAACCCTTTGTAGATTTATGAACCTTTTTCTATGATTTTATGTAGGTTTTAATTCCATATTATTTTTCTACTTGTTTTATTAGGTGCATGAAACTGGCCAGTTTATGTGCTTTTCTATTATTGTTAAACACATGAATTGGAAGATCGGTTTAATAATTAGAACTTTGGTAGAAGAACCTTTGTTGTGCTATCATAGGAATATGATTAGCCTCTTAGATAGCCATTATTGAGATATGTGCTTAATATTGTGTTCTAGATCTAATTACGTAGGAATACTATAATTTAATCTAGAATATTAGAATTATAATACACACGGAAGCAGTTTATGATTAATATAGCATCTCAGGTTAATAATCCGTGTTAATCACTTGCATAATTGAAAGAATTAGGGACTTAATAATCACATAGGGGGGAGATGAAATCCTAGGCTTGTTTATTCTGATAAATCTTTGTGTTTATTTGCTTTCGTGTTCTTGCATGCCTAATTTGCTTTCATTAATTTAGATTAATCAATCATTTTTCGACTATGTAGGATGGACTTGATAATAATTGGTAGAATCTAGCGATTAGAATTAGATAATTTAATATTCTCTGTGGGATCGATAACTGGACTTTTCTCCACTATATTACTTGTTCGATATGTACACTTGCGTGTATGTAAAATCATTAACAAGTTTTTTGCGCCATTGCCGAGAAATTTTTAAATATTTATTTTATTCTAACTCTAGATTTGAATAACTTTCACGATTCCCCCAAAAAAATTAATTTTTTTTTTAATTTTTGTTTTCTTTTAATTTTTGTTTTAGGTACCATTTTTTGCGCAGAAGACTCAATATCGACAAAGAACCGTTTGATCCCGAGATTAAACGCACTTTTCGAGCCGCTAGGAGACGCCAACGCGAGAACAATATAATGGAGAATGAAGGCTGATGAGACGCAACTAGTTATTTGTTTGATGAAGACGGAAATCAAATCCAAGACCAATCCCCATGGCTTCCACTACAGCTAGTCGTTAGGCCAGTGGCACTTCAGGACTACATAGTCCCCACTCTTGATGGATTCCATTCCAGTTTCCAATATTGACCCATTGAGGCCAATAATTTCGAGATCAAGCAAGGCCTCTTAATGATGATCCAAAATAGCGGGTTACTTCGTGGATTGGTAGGTGAAGATTCTCATGTTCACATTGTCAATTTTCGAGCGAACTTAATCTTGAAGGAAAAGTTCGAAAGGGCTACTCCCCATGTTCGCTGGGCAGATGGATAGAATCTTAGTCGAGCGAACTTGATCTAGCTTGAAGTAAAAATTTGAACTGGCTGGTCCCCCAGTTCGCTGGGTAGATCGAGAGTTGAAGCACAAAGGTGTGGATGTATTCAATCGCGAACGAGCGTGTTATTATCTTTTTTCGTAAAGGCGTGCATGGCTTTTAATGAAGACTGTCGTTGACAATGATTCACTTTCTAGGGTTGCGTGACGCCGACTAAATTTGTGTGCTGCCAAAGTTTCCTTCCGTCTTCGTTGCTTTTATCTCCTCATATGAGTGACATGGCGATTCTCCACCATGGGGTTTTTTTAATCGTGTGGCCAGGGTTTACTCGCGCTTTATTATTTGTGCCTATGGATCCCATTAATGGACACGCACAACCCTTGAACAGGCCTGGTTGTAACTTTTCTTTTAATGCGCGGACGTGTCCTTTGGGTTGTCCTCCACGTGGCTTTTCTAGTGTCGTTAGATAAGATATGATCCAAGAGTGTAACTTTGTAGCTATTTGCCTTTCCTAAGACTACTATAAATAATCAACAAGAGACTGAGGGCTACTTCTCACGCTTCCCAAACTTTTCTTCCATGTGTAGACTTCTCGATTTAGTGGCATTTTGTGATTATAAGTAAGGATTTGTTTCTTCTTACTTCCCTGTAATATTCATATTTGTAGGTAAAGATGGTATATTCTGAAACCATGTCCCCTTCTGGACTAGATCCGATATCAATACTTCGAATTTCAAATCCTGGATTGTCCAAAGAAGGATTCAGTGGGTTGGAACCTTGACCCATTGCCTTTAAAAAGCCAAGAACCTTGGTATGCGAAGACGCCACAATCAGTTGTGGAAGACTTATTGATAAGTCTGGGGCGAATGCCACGGAGAAAAGCTCCGATAAGTTCATTGCATAAATAATGGTTCTTGAAGAACCGAAAAGACACACTCTTATTCAAAAGATTTCAATACATTGTTGTGTTTATTGTTACAAGTTGATCCCTTTATATGCTTCAATGCTCTCTAATCTATGGAAATAAACTAAGATCATGGAATCATTATTCAACTAATCAAATCAGCCACAAATGAACCAATCTTATTAACATTTATTAAATCTTGTTGATTTATATGCCTATAGAAATCAATTAACCTAAGTTGTAACCGTTAAGTTGTGGGTTGATTTATATGCCTATAGAAATCAATTAACCTAAGTTGTAACGGTTAAGTTGTGGGAACAATATTCAGTTACAACTATTATTCTTGTGTTAACACAATTATAAACTACTGAAAGCAAATAAATGAACACAAGAAATTAATGTGGTTCAGACACAAATATGCCCTACATCCACGTGGACTTGCAAACACAATTTCACTAGTTCAGATTTACAGTGTACATTAATAGGACTTATTAAAAATGGGAAATTGGCAAGACACCCATTATTCTAAACTTATATAGGTAGAGATCCAAGTTGTTAGATGAATGTAGGTGTAGGTCATTTTATTAAAAAAAAAATTATAAAGTAATAAAATTATTAGTTTATGTCTATAAATAGGGCCCTCAATTAATACTTATTTTTATATGGTAATAATTATTTATGTAAATTAATGTCTCTCTTCCCTCTTTTTCTCCCACGTCTCTCTCCTTCTCTTTTCTCTTGTTTCTCTCACCTTCTCTTCCTTCTCTTCTCTCTTCTTTCTCTCTAATAACCACGTCTCTTTGTCCCTAATATTCTTTTTAGTGGATTTATAATTTATAATTTATATTTAAATTTCTTATTAATATTGCTTCAGTAATCAACAAAAATAGTTTGATAGACAAAATAAATTTGCAAAATAAAATAGAAATTGCATATTGTTTTCTGTACCTGAAAAATTAAACAATAACAATATTATATAATATGCAACAATAATATAAAAACTGCAATTAAAAATTGTAATGGTTTGAGTTTATAGATAGGTAATACTTTTACAAGAAATGAAATAAATTTCCTCAGCAAATAGTAAATGACTTGAAATCCTAAAATGGATGTGAATTATATAAACAATCATTTTTGCCATGCGTTCTTGATGAACTAACTGCTCTCATCCTATTGGCTTATCAACATGTATGTGCAAGGGTAAAGTTAACATACAAGTGTACCATCTTAAACCACCAAACAAATAAATTGCAAACTTCAACCACAATTTACTAATTACAGATATAATAGAAAAATAACAAAAAAAAAAAAATTGTAATTGCAT